CGTTCGCGGTCGACAGGTTCGCATGCACGGTGACGGGATCGTCGAGGTTCGAAGGAAGACGAAGACGAAGAAGAAGAAGAAGAAGAAGAGGAGAAGGCGGCGGCGGTGGCCGACGTTACCACGCCGCCATGCCATCCTTCAGCGTTCGCGTTCGCTCCGAGCTTTGCGTGCCACTCAACATTGGCAAGTAATTTCTTGCACGCAATTGCCCGCTACTGGAATTGCCTGGTAGGCGACCTTAGTCCGTCAGTCATTTACTTTTTAAATCGATCCTACCTGCCCGCCCCCTTGCCTCGCCTGTCCGTCCATCCGTAACTCCATACGGCCGACCCTCGTGTGCACGCGTGTGCGAGCACACACGACTCCGCGGCACGCGGAATTTCTTAACGCTAAAAATCGATTCGCGATAGGCGTTCTCCTTTTTGGAGGCACGTTTCTCTCTCGCCGCACTCTTATCGCCTGCCTCGCCGTACGAATGACATTTTAGGGGCAAAAACTTGCAAATTTATATAATGTTCTTAAAAAATCTGATTAAATGTACAATTGATATTGACACGAAGCGCTGCTTAATAATCACCAAACGTGATGTATTCTTTATTATTTTCTTTCATTCGCTCTATATGTAAATCCGATGATAAAAGATGTTGCAAGATATATTTATATAATAATTATATGTAGTGAGATTAATTATGCGATGTCTTCAATTATTTTATGATAAGGTAAAAAAGCTAATTCTGTTATTGACAGCCATCACGTTGTTGCGACGGACCTCGAACGAACGTAAAGCGGTTTCGATACATCGCTTAACACTGCGGTGTTATGGCTGGATTACGTCGCGCATTAATTTTCTTGTCGAGTCAGTCGAGCGTATCAGGATATTCTGTGATGTCGCTACCCGTATCATTAAAGTCGCGAATAAATTGCTCGCCGGTATACGGATCGCGCGATGGTTTACCGAGTATCGCTGAACACCGTTTCTCAACCCTTTAAACTCGCGATAATGGTCATCCTGGGTATTAACCGTGCTTAGGATCGGTGCAGTTCCTACGCTCGGCGCATCACGTGGCTGAGAGGCAAACTTAGAACGGAAGGGATCGATATACACGCCGTTATTTTGCATACGAACCGAGCGAGAAGGTTTCAAGCTAACTAGGTATTTCATAATATTTCAATAAGCTTAGAAACTGGTTTTAGAATATTTGACTATTTGATCAATGAATATACTTGATCAATTATAGAATATTGTTGTAAAATGTTGTAAAATTTACGATACTGGACTGAAAAAAATCTGGCTCGTTTATTTTCCACCAGAAAATACTGGTTGAATCTACCAGAATCTGATTGAATTAATAGAAATTCTGGTTGCATAACCAGAATTCTGGTTACATTAATTGAAATTTGTGGTTGCATTAATTGAAAGAATCTGGTTTGTTCATTTTCCACCAGACGTCCAATTAATTCAACCAGATTCTTTTTTTGTCATTGTATGGCGTTATTTCACTGTGAAATAACAAAAAGAATGTTTAAAGATTCAGTTTATTGATATGAAGTTCAGAAAAACACTCTATTACACTTTATAGTCGAGAGTTATTTCTTAGCGTGTTTGTCGTGCGAAATGGTAGCGTATGAAGAGACAGAGTGTAATCCTTTCACCGAGTGGCGTTTCGAGCAGCTGGATCGGCCCGTGACTCTAATGCGAGAAAGAGGGGAAGAATTATCTTCCGAATCGAGGCTACCAATAAGCAATAATTGTACGTTTAGCGACCGTGCCGCGTTTGCATTCGTGTCGGCACGACAAGCCGGACCGCCGCGGAGAACTGCAGGGAAACGAGGAGCAAAATGACTATATCTTAATCATCTTTGGTTATTGCCTTTCTAGACCGTGTGCTCGACTTCACTCGTGGGAACCCATCTCGCGAATGTGGAAGAGAAAACGCTCTGGGATCCTTCGCAGGAAATTCGCGGCACACGCACACACGCGCTTATCATCCGGCAATCAAAATATAGAGCGTCCACAGAGATTTCTTCTGATTTCAAGAATGTATCTGACGAGTATTGTATAAAAATAGTAGAGCAATTTTCACGCCGTTTGATTCTATGACGAAAGTTTCTGAGCGCCTGTGTCTCCAAAGACACTTCGATGTGCGTACCCTTAATTGCACACGTGACTGGGATATGAGGAAATTATGCGAAAAATATGAACACGTCAAATTTCATGTTTGGGGGCGAGCCATGTCGGGAAGTGATGCGTACGTTACGTGTGAGAAATCGTGTCTACATGATCCGCACGTAAAAGCATTATCGACGCCCATACCCGCAGGGAGAAACTGTCGTTGATCGAGTACGGGATCGACTCAAAAGACACCCGGAGATGCGTGCCAAGGATAAGCGGACTGTTTCAGTTCGCTTATCGTGCGATTTCGTTGTTTACCCCTCTATAACCAGATTTTTTACTCATAAGAGAAAATTACAGAACCTGTACATGCGAAAAACGTGGATTAAATCATTGAAACTTAAAAAATATATATATCTGATATCTGAGTATGTAACTTTCAAGTTACATGGCGCTATAGACGATTAAGTTTGATAATCTTTCTTTTAGTAACTAAAAAGGTATATGATCCAAGATTATCCAATTTATTTTAGTAGATTAGCAATCTCAGTATCACTTCTCTGTATAATTCAATAACTTTTTTCCTCTAAAGTAAAAACCTTATTAAAATATCGTAAAAATTTTATTAAAATCACGATAAAATGCAATGCAACTTTTAGTTATCACGCGGCATTGTGCTGCATCCATTTTGATCTTTCTATCTGCAGCAACGGATGGCGCCACCAACTACTTTAAATTGATAGAAATAAAATCGCACAAGGTCACTATTGAATTTAATTACTGTTAAAAAAAGAAAAAATGTTATAAGGCTATATGTGTGTAATATAAATATTAGTAATATAAAATTTGAAATTATGTATTGTGCAAAATAGGCTTTTGCTCCTACTAGCTGTACTTTGTATTTTTTAAATAAATAAAAAAGAGAAATAAAATCTAAGCATTTATCTGTACGGATTATTATACATTATAATATGATAACATCATATTTCTTGTAATAACGCCATATTTCTCGTACTGTAATAGACAAATATCGATACATTTTCAAGGTTTCCAAGAAATCTAAACTATCGATAACTATATATCAATAAATTCATAAGTTTACATTAAAATATTTTCAATCGTGTAATGACAGTAATATTTACAATAATTATGTACAATTTATAAGCAATAGCAAAATATTCTCTTTTTATTGTAACAAATTATATGATATTTAGATACTCAAAAGCTACCAAAAGTTATATATCACCAGATTTATATAAAAAAATGAGTAAAATTTTAGGAAGACAATATTAATACGTCGCCCTTACTAAGGACTGCACTGACATATTAATACACATATCCCTGCGTTTAAATTATAGATGATTTGTATACATCAAACGAGGGACGTGATGGAAATTCTAACGACCATGAGACGTGCTCCCATGTGCTCCGATAAAGTAATCTGCATGACGTTGACGAGCAATCTCGGTTATAAGTCGGCTCGCTTTACATTCCACGAAGAGCTTGAATTTTTATTAAAACCAAATATTTTAACAAATACTTTACTGCGCTAATGTGCCAACATACTACGTTGACGACGATCTCACAGAAAGTTGCTTAAAATATTATAATTGCTTAAAAACATAAAAATAATTCAGTATGAAGAATAGAGCAAGAAAAGCCGCAACAGGAGATGTTCGTGTTAAATTATTTTTAATAAACAAGTATTATTCCAACCATAGTAAACTGCGCGCCGACAAATCGTCAGACTTGAAACACAATTCTGGTTGAAGTAGTAAAATCCCCTCCCACCTCCCCCCCCCCAATTAAATCGTTACGATTTAATTTATGATCAAATAGAGAATAGTGAGAGAGGCAATCGGAGCCACACTCGGTAATTATTGCACAATTAATATATAGTCAATACATATTCGGGGGGGCTCGTCCAAAATTTGAACCCGGACCCAATTGAACCCCTCTGCGAGAGGTCCGGGTTTTTATTGACTATATATTGATTGCGCAATAATTGTCGCGCGTGGCTCCGATTGCCTCTCTCACTATTCCCTATTTGATTTATTCAGAAGAGTCTACACTTAGTTTATTATGAATTTATGATGCTAAGCATCTAAAAACTGTAAAGAAATTATATTGCAAAAAATATTACCTCAGGGATTTTACTACTTCAACCAGAATTATTGTGTTTCAAGTCTGACAATTTGTCGGCGCGCAGTTTACTATGGTTGGAATAATACTTAATTGTCTATTAAAAATAATAAAACATGAACATCCTGTTACGGCTTTCCTTGCCCTATTCTTTATACTAAATTTTAATCCGCGGAGCCATTTAAATATTAAAAAAATAATTTCCAAGTATCTTGCACTTAATGCGATATGTTCTTTAAAATTCTAATCTTAATTCTGATCTTCTTTTGAAACACGCTTTCACACTTGTGCTTTATTTGTGTTTTGTATTCGCGTATTGCAACATTTATATCATCGCAAACAGACTTTTGCTGAAACAAGCTTTCTGTATGTATTATAAAATTTTGAGAAAAACACAAGTTTAAAAAAATAACCTGGCAATCGTCACATGAGATATTTCTATTAAACTCTAGAGATGATTCTATTACTATATTACTATAAAGAATAACCACCGAAGATTATCGAAAACACTCGCAGACAAAACAGAATGCGCGTGCACTCTGCTCAAAATAGAAAAGCAGCGCATATTTTTCAATCATCACCGGCACGCGCAATTTCTATTCAAATCGCGATTCCTGACGCCCGCCTGACGGAGCTTCGCGACAAAATCACCGTGCAGTTATACGATGCGTCAAACGTTCGAGTTAAATACTGACTCAAAGGCTTTTCTGAACGGCGAAGGAGAAACACGCTTGAAATCGTCATTCAGTGTCATCGGGTTATCTGGCTGTGACCGTCAGTGTTTAAGTCAGCTTAAACACCGTGCGAGTTATTAGTTGCTCGGTTAGTTAAGAAGAATGCGTGCATTCTACACGATTCTCGCACTCGTGATCCTCTCCGCGAGCCTCGCCGAATGTTGGTCCTTCTCGAACGTGGCGACGTCCATCGACAAACTGATACGGCCGCAAAATGATACATCAAAAGTTCTAAATGGAAGTGATGGCGCTATATCGACGGCATCCCCAGAGGTCACGGTACAAGGCAGAATAATATTCGTTCCACGAAGAAATAAAGTCCTCTGTCAACCGGGTCAGCAAGTCGACCGGCGTGGCAAGTGCAGGACAATATGGTGAAACAAAATGATAAACAAGGTACATTTTAAATAGAATATTGTCACAATTTCTTATTTTTAATCTGTTATATCATATAGATTCAATTTTTTTTCTTCAGTCAAACAAAGGGAAAAACGCCGTAATTGGTCAGGACTGGATGTTGCTTGTCCGAATAATATATATTTATTCTTGAGTGACTTTTTACGTACAATTCTTTTGCCCTGGCAGACCACGCGCCGTTAATTAATAACGCAGTCTCAACCAAAGCCAGAACGAAATAATCACACAATTAAATTGATATCAATATAATTATATTAAAATACACACAAGAAATTCGGAATAAACGAATATGCGAAAATTACAGGATATATATGTATATATATAGGAGAGAATATAAAGGAACGGCGCGTGGTCTGCCAGGGCAAAAGAATTGTGCGTAAAAAGTCGCTCAATCCAGTCCTGACCGATTACGGAGTTTTTCCCTTTGTTTGATTGTATATCTTACACAGTCGTATAATCTCATACTTATTTTTTCTTCAGTTTCTAATTATTTATTTTTCCGCTATTCATTAACTAGATAAATCGTAGTGCTGACGCGATTTCTTGTGAAAGAATAAGTAAAGAATATGCAACATATTTTTAAATTAATTATTTCTCGAGAAAAACAAATTTAAGCGTAAAAGTAGTGTATTATCACGTACGATAATCGTGCTAAAGATGGCTCGCTATCATCGATAGTGCCAACGAGGGTTATCGAGAAATGCTCATAGATAAAGCAAAACAAACTTTAGCTTAATACATCTCTTTCGAAAATTAATGATTTGATAGAAATTAATGCATTATTTTGCGTATCTTATTCTATTATACATACACGTGCCGTATATTATCATTTTCGAATTGTTCAACTCAATTGTTCAACAAGCGGGCAATTAAACTTTGCACCTTTCTTTAGCGGGTCAATGTTATATCGATGAATCGTCTAAGTAAAGTTCAAGTTTCAAGATTTCTCGGTATCGTAATCTCGAATCGATGAAAAATCCCGGACATGGCGGACTGATAAAACTGCCGACTGTCTCGTCTTCGCAATATTCCGCGTCGCGCAGATAAAGCAGCCTTTTAAGCCGGTTTAAGCGTACAAGGTCGATTTTAATTAGCCCGTTCGTCCGTTTCCGAGTGTTTTGTTTGCGTTCGTTTCGAGAAGGAGGCGGCGACGGCGGCGACGGCGGCGACGGCGGCGTCGGCGGCGTAGGCGGATAGAAATCAATCGTCGCCACAGTTCCTCAGCGGCTCTATCGCGCTCGCTGCCTGGCGAGCATCGCGATACGATTTTCTTGTGGAAAATGTGAGATTCGAATCGGCCGGACGTGCCCAATCTGAGTTTCGTGTCGCTGGCTAGCGTTCCGACGCGATCACGCATCGCCCGCCCGATGAAATTCAAAACGAGACGCTTCGCGTCGTGACTAACGAACTTTGTCATGGGCTGAAACGCTGATAATAATTCTGGGACACGTGTTTCCGAGGCACGAAACAGTAGTACGCGACAAAGTGTCGTTAATCGCACTGTGACTGTGTCGTATTTTATTCGAGGATAACTTTCTATATCATCGGTAAAATCTCTACGTCGATATAATCCCTCGAAGTCTCCTTGAAATGTGTCAAGATTACGCTTAATTACCTATTGCGCGTTACTTCTCGTCGAGTGATACATACGTTTGAAATCTCGAGAAGGTGATTAATATCAGGAAGAAAATTTATGCGCGGCAATCATCGCGCGAATCTTGAAATTAATTCCATCAGATTGAAAATCGCGCGACGTGATCGCAGGATAAATTGCTTGAGAGGCGAGATCTGGACAGGCTTCAGTCGTTGATTGCGCGTTGTGTACTACAGTCATACGCAACTATGAGGCTTTTATTAGCTATAACGTGCGCGATAGCGTTATTTTTCATCCTGTCGACGCGAAGCACGCGCGCGACCGACGCGAGTGTTTCGCGGGAGGAAAAACGTTTCCTGCGTTTCGATAGCTACAATAAAATGATCGAAGCTGGATCAATAATTAATGTTCCTATACAATGTCCACCGGACAAGGTCAAAGTTGGAAATCGTTGTCGAAGCGTCTTTTAGGTAAGAATGAAACCAGAAACTCTTCACAAGCAAAAAAAAAATTAATAATTGCATTGCATTGTTTGCGCAACAAGCGATATTGTTTCTATTATTAGGATCTAAAAATTAATTAGACCCAGACTTATTGCTGATTCGTACAATAATTAAATAATGATAGGAATAATATTTTTATAAATAATGTTATATATTATATAACAAACAATAAATGCTATTTACATATCAAATCGTATACATTATCCAATCATTATTTTTATGTTACACGCGTCCGTCAGTAATTCCTATCATAAATTGATTCCTACGATGCACTGATGACGTCAAGCACGTTCGCGTTTATGTCTCGTTGATTGTGACGTGACGCAAACTTATAATTCCGATGAAGTATAACGCTTTAAAGTTGATTCTCTTTGCCGGAAGTATCTACAACTCATCAACTATTCCAGTAGCCTACTCCATCAGATGCGCACACAATCGTCACCTCATATCGATCCCTTCATACCCGCGTCAAACTTAAATATGCAATAAATTGCTCAGGCCTTTATTTATAGCGGTCATTCTCTATTTCCGTGTACACTGCATAGTTCTTACTTCCGACCATAGAGTGATGTGTAAAACCAGTATGTAAATCTACCTGCATGAAACAGGTAGATTGACAGTCGAACTGACAACTGACACGATCTTGGTTTTTTGTTACAGAATCTTTATAGATAATTGAACCATTCCTGTTTTTTGAAAGATGACGTCCCCGGAAGAAAACAAGAAGCTTAACAGGATTAAAAACAAACGAGACTATTATTTCAATCGTCGGGAATAATTAATGGGAACCATGGATCTACGTTAGATGTACCTAATTAATTATATATATATAAGATCTGCAATTCACCAAATCATATTTGGCAATAGTGGATTTCATTCAAAATGCAATTAATTAAGATGTAAAGACCACAAACTAAATTTTGCTGCGCATATTTATCCCCAGAAACGTACAAAAACAGACAATGATTTTATATTAGGCGCACAACAAATAAAACTGTAGTGGGAGTATATTACAGAGTATTAAATTTATACTAAAAAATGAATAGAGTATTTTATTGTCCATAAAACAAGCCACACTAATTGTTTCTCTTTCTGAACACATATACACACAAAAATATATTCAAGATTACTAATTAGATATGTACAAATAATATTATACATATCTAATATAATGATAAATGTACGAATAATACTACACAACAATTCATATGTATAATTTAATTTTAAATAAATAATACGTAAAGCATATAAGATGAATAATTAAAATATTCATATATATATATATATGTATACAAATAAATAAAACATTTTAAATATATTTGTATATGTTTTTTCTTCTATCGCCCGTATTTCCTGATCTGAGTCATGAAACGAGATTTATTGGCAATGTGCGCGTGAAACCCGAATGTGCACGACGCACACATCATTCTCAACAATTTATCGCGTTGCGGAAGTTACAAGCAAACGCTCCGTGCGTAGGCAATCAGGATATGATTTCGACCACTAATTAACGATGACGAAACGGAAAGGAGACAGGAAACCGCACTGTTAGGCCTAAGTTGTATATAAGTACACGCACTAGTGTTATACGAGCCCAGTCCAGTTATTAGCATTTGAATGTTGCAAGCGTACACCGAAGAAGAAAGATAGAAACCTGACGCCAATCCGTCTAATTTCGTCTATCTAATTTGAAATTCGAGAAAGTGATCGGGAGATTGAAGATCGTCTGCAATAATGGCACCCGCCCGTTTGATTCTACTAATTCTTGCGTCAATAATGTTAGTATTTGCGTGCGAGGGACGGCCACTGACTTTCCCTGTAAGAAACCGGACACAGGTGAACTGTCCGGTGGGCTATAGACCTGTTCGTAACGGAGGATGCAGAAAGATTTTAATTACTTAAAATACAACTTCCTCCTTTGCACAAGGTAAATATTCCAACAATTTTTTTGGAGTAACAAACACATACTTATTTATTCTTTTCTTAAATTATTTCTTATTCTGAAATATATCCTACTTTGCATACTGTATAGAAGTAAAACTGTTTGAGATAAATAATTTTAATTACTCTGTTGCATAAATTAAAATAAACCGATTATAATGACAAAATATATTTGATATTTCTTTGATTATAGAATAATGCAAACAATATCGCAGGATATTCTTTCCCGGAGGTGTCATATTGGCAACGAAAATAATAATACTTTTGTTTCTGGTATCCAATCTTTTGATGTGACTTCAAACCATTCAGTAATATGCATTGCGCGTAGAAGAGATCACTTTAATAAAATTTGGCAATCATCGCCCATCAGAAATGCAGTATGCTTTTGTAACTAATATGCATCACATAAATATTCTATGTATACTATCATTTTAATAGATAATAACGTCAGAAAAAATAATTTTTTTTTATCAATCACTTTCTCTCCCTCTCTCTCTTTTTTCTCGTATTTAAAATCTTTATTAAATTTAGATGTGAGTAAATAAAATATAATCAACAAGAAATATCTCATTGTAATAGCGTTATATATTAGGTATGGACCTTTGATCGCATATAAAACTAGGTCTTTATTTTACATTACTACGAGAAAGCGAACATGAAAGCGAACATTATTATTCACTTTAATTGCGATCTTGGTCGCAGTTAATATTCCGGCTATTAATGGTGAACCTTGGGCTAAAGCTGAACTTTGGGCTAAAGTTAATCCTGGGATTTCTAATGGTACACGATAAATTTCTTTCCTTTAATATTATTCTAAATAATAATTAAAATAAGATGATATATAATTTCGCGTAAGTAGAATATTGCATATGAATTTATTTGATTGCTTATTTTAATCATTTTTAACCAGTTACATTTTTACCTGTTAGTCATATATTTTCTACAATGTAAACAAGTAAACTTTTTTATACGGTATACGAAGTTCTTTATGTATTAGTTTATGACTTGTTATTTATTATTAGTGACAGTAATAAAGGATCCCGAATTTTTTCTACGTAAAATAGGTTCCGACTAATTTTCTTCTCAAATTCCGTATATATACAATTAGACGTATCATTATATAGATAGAGCAACCACAAAAAAGATTTTAAAAATTCACTTTCCGAACTGTTGATTCGATATAGCTGATAATGATGCAGAGTCCATATTATACGATATTTTGAGATTCTGCATCATTATCTGCATCATTAGGTATATCGTTTCAACAGCTCGAAAAAGTGATTTTTTAGAAAAATCTTTTTTGTAGTTGATCTACCTAATGATACATTTAATTATTCTAATTGTATACGGATTTGAAAAAATACGGTCGATCAGGACCTATTTTACGTAGAACAAGTGCGAAGTCCTTTACAACAAAATTAAAGTTACAATTCGTAAAAGTATGGATTATTTATATTCTTACACGTAAATATAATATTTAAAATGTTTTTTTTTTAGTTTTATCTTCAAGTAATATTTATCAAAATATGTGACACCGCAGGCATAAAAAATGTAATAATTACTTTTATTTGGTGTATATACCCAGAAAAAATTGTATATAATTGTATATAAATATATAATGATTATATATAATGCAATTATATATGAATTTTGTCTCTATATGATCATATATAATTACATATATACTCTACATGGATAAATGCTTCTTGTAATAAAAATTGACACTACTCGAAAAAAGATGCCAGATTGTTTGGTTTAAAAAATATCTCGAATATTGAAAATACTAAATATATATATATATATATTAACAATTACTTGTTCTACATTTATCTTTAATCGATAACAAAATAAATCTCTGAATTTTGTTACCATAATACATGTACGAATATTTTTTGCTCTTCATCATGATGATAAGATGTTAATAATTGTAAAAAGTACCACATTGCATTTTAATAATATTTTTAACGCTATATATATTAATAAATATTTACGCACTTTTTAAAACTTACCTTCACATTTTAAAATATTAATTATTAGACAGAATTAATGAGCTTAAAAGTCTCAAATAATATTGTTGTATTACCATTATTAACTATATATATTTCCAATAATTTATTAAAATTTTCTTCTATTTAGTTTATCTACCGTAGTTATCTCGCGACATCGGCGAAATATCGTTGAAAATTTCAGTGTTGGATAAATAAAATTTCTTCGACTCGATTGTCGATAATATAGTAATAACGAGCACATATGCTCGATTCAAATTTAAACTAAATATTACGAAGAAAAAATTGATTCTTTGTATAATAAATCATCTTTCTTTTTAATTATATAATTAAAAATGGAAAACTTTTCCAGCTTCAAAATAATTGTTTCTAATAATTCTAATATTAATCTAGGACTTTCGGAAAATAAGAACAATTGTGTTTTAATTAAAGCTTTTGATATTATATAGTTACGACTTCCAATAGCATTTTTGTCGACACACAGAACGGCACGAAATCGAAAAATGGCGATATTCCCTATCATTATTCAAATATTATAATTAATCCGGGAACGGGCGCCTAAAGTAATTTTTACAGTATAAAAAAAATAAAACTCACGTCACAGTAATTTTAATGTGCTTCTTTTATTTTTTAAATATTTTTTTTGTTTCTCTTTTTTTAGAAAATGTTGAGTAATTCTTTATGCATATTATTCTCAAATACTAATAAATTATAGAACAATCAAAAATATGCAACGTACGTAATTATAAACATGTAATTATTTTTAATAGGGATGTAAAAAGCATCTCAGGTGACCATTTAAAATCATGAAAAAAAAATCAGGCGCGTCTTAAAAAGAAAATATAATAAAAGTGTGAAAAGCATATATGTAATATTATAGAAAGCAACGAAGCATACGTACTTGATGACGGCTATACGTTTTCATTGCACTTTGGTAAGACAGCAAGAATACGCTCTCGATTGATTCCATCAGGTATAATAGACAGATCCGAGATCGCACGTCATCGGTGTCGATGCCGAAATCACAATATACGCGCACAAGCGACCGTGCCGCGAGAAACACTCGCGATTGTTCCTTCCACAGTGGCACAGTTTTGCGGGTCAACCGATCACACCAGAAATACGAAACGATGCGATAACGACCTATCCGACGCGACGCGATTCCGCAATTAACATATTGAATCCAAAATCAATCGAGGAGCAACATGGCGAAAACGCGGAAACGAGGTTCGGAAAGCGAAGGATCGCGACATGTCGACGCGCGCCGCGATTGCCGACGGTGTTCGCCGAGGTTCGCTGTGTCATAACAAATGTCCGATACCGCGACAGATACTCCGCGATTGTTCCTTCCGCGTGAGATACATTTATGCACGGCGATAACACCGCGAGAAACGCGCGGACCGACTTGAACGCGTTTTCACGTTCATCCCGACGCACTTCGCATTGCGAAGTTTGCAACTGACCGGCGATTCCGCAAAATCTATCGATGTGGCGCGAATTTCGGTCGATTAAAAATAAATCTAGAATGTTATTCGAATAAATAGTCGAGATAATATTGTAAATCAATTGAGACAACTTTCTTAATGTCCGGGATGTTTTCGACGTAGAGAATAATGTTAAATCGTCGAAACATGCGGTAGAAATAAAATCCGGATAAACGCGTGATATTCGTAACGTTTGAAATAGCCGATACCGACCGACACCGACACGGACTACTAGCGCCATCTATACGCGAGAGATCTTGTCAGCGCACAACCAAGGTCTTAAACCATCGTACAGATGACTCTGTCAGTTCTGTCATGCTGTTAATTCGATTAATTTATATTTGTGCTGCGATTTATAATGTGATGATTGTAAAATATTGCTAAATATGCTTGTATACGTATGTACCTGCTGTATCTTTATATTTATGGCCGTACGGAAGAAACGAGGCTTTTGTATTTTTCATAATAAACAAAAATCTAATTTAATATTGGAGCTGGATTGTTTCACGAGACCAAGATTCATCCTATGTATCTTTTTTTATTTAAAACAAAAAAATTTATACGCTCACCAATATTGGTCAAATATCTGCAATTTCAAGCTGTGTTTATCCATACATTATTTTATAAGTTGTCACCCCGCTTATTCTTTTCATAAGCGTTTCTCTGCGTCATTAGATAGTTGAGATTTCCCGTCGATCGTTACCTTGAGGTGTTATGAAAATTAATGTTAGAATAAGTCAACTTCATATGCAAATTGTAAACGCCCACATTGTTCACCAAGGTGCTCGGTATTGAAAAGTTTTCGCTTACCGCATCTGAATTATTCTAAATTGTAGTTGAGGTAATGCCGGTAATGGTAAATTACGGCTGTGCTCTCCTGCGGATAGCTTGAAAGCTTCCGCAATACTTTATTAAGTAAAGTGTCACCGACACGCGAGTAAAGTTATTTATAACATTCTTTTACTTTAACACTAAAATTGACACCGGAAGATACAATTTTAGTAAATGCAGTATATAGCGGCCTGCACCCACGCCCACCTTAATTTACGATCAAAATTTTAGGAATGGAACTTATTTCTCTTATCCAACGGTATCGTGATAAAGGTTTATATACGAAAAAATAATAATTCCAGATAACAAGCTGACATCATTTAATTGTCATCATTTTAACGACATTTCGATGTTAAAATAACGATAAATAACAATAATAAAATAAAATTAGCTTGCTACCTGAGATTTTGTATTAACAGCATTAATTTAATTGGAAACAATCTTGTTCATTTAATACACGTCATGCTCTTGTTTTAATAAAACAAGTATTTATTTTATTAATATTGTTAATATTGAATTAACAAGATTATTTCCAATTAAATCTAATACTGTTAATGCAATATCATTTTTTTTCGTGTATAAAAAAACTAGGTACCTATAGAGTGATTGAAGACACCTATATACGAGCGCGATAAGCAATAAATTTTTCTAACTATGTTATCACTCATGTTCGTCACGTCGGCGTCGTAAGCGCAATTCGCGGAACAGCGAAGCACAAGTCGCGCTTTCTTCTCCTCGATTTCACGTAAAAGCACTCGAACACGTTAATCAATGCCGCGAAAAAGTCACGCCGCTTATCGCTGCGCCGCTCGACGATTCGTGAGACACGCGGCGCGAGTGAGCGCGCGCGTCCGCTCGCTCGCTCGCTCGCCCGCTCGCCTATGCGCGCGAGGCAAGAAGTAGCGGACGTGTTCGTCTCATCAGTCGATCGCGGTGCGGGCGCTCGGATACGCTCAGGTGTGCATCGTCGCGTATCGAAGTAAAAAGCCGACCTCGACAGGCCAAGCCGCGGAAGAATCGAACGGCCGGTCGGCGGCGATAACAGCCGAGTGTGCGTGATCGTTAATAATAATTAAAGACGACGTAACGACTCGTCGACGCGACGTCTCTCGTGCTTGTGAGGAGTGAGGATAGATCGGAAGGCGAGGCGCCGCGACAGAAAATGCAATCGCGATACGACGCGTTGTTTGACAGCCAGTCGACGCTGCATCTCGTCGCAAAGATGCTCGTTTTCGCGCTCATCTGCGGCGGAGTCATCCTGGGAGTCCTGGGACAAGTCGGCGCGCAGTATCACGGCGATCCCGATCACATAGTCTTCCCCGGGCCGGTCGGCTCGGGATCGAGGGACAGGGCCCTTGATAACGAGCCCGCGGGGGGTTCCACGGATGACAGCGACACGCCGGTAAATTGGTACAGATTGACCCCGCCTCTGAATTAAGTCGACACGTCGTTGTTGTCCGAAATATAAATTACTTTGAATAATATCCAGTTTCGGAGCAATTATCTCCAAGAGATCACCAAGAGATCGGAAAGGCAAACGCTGACGATCGATCGCAGTTTGATATAATGAATTGTATCACCGGAATCTTTTATTAATTCTCGCGACAAATAATGCCCCAATCTAGTCTTATTACTTCATCTTCAATTATTTGTAAAAAAGGCAATTGTAAATCAATGACGCGCTCTTTGCACTACTTTTATTTCCAAGACTCACTTTCCGTGGAGAGACTGAAACGACGCGACGCGTCGAGGCCGAAGCTGTCAATGTCGAGGATATCCATGATGAAATAATCGCAAGGCGACACGACTTTTGTGATTCCCGGCACGATGTAAAATCGATCGTACGTCACTTTGAATGCAATTGTGCAAATATTCCATATCAATTAGCCTCATACCGTGTTCAACCGCTATTTTTTCAATTATTTGTTTCACGGTTTTTTCATTCAACAGTTCTGCAGCTATTTTTTTCTCGATGCGCGAATTACTAAATAACAGCGAACACAAATAAAAGATAAAAAGATAATAGTCCGGTTCTAAGGAATCTTCCTCTTTCTCTCTCTCTCTCTCTCTCTCTCTCTCTCTCTAGGCGCATAAAAATACAGCGTGAGATAGTAAATCCACGTGCAACTGTAAAAACCTGAGTAAACTAACTGCCGGCTTACGAGAAATCGTTATATCAACAATTGTTATTAGGCTTTACACGATAATTATAACATTGTCACCTCGGCTGAGTCAGTAGTGAAATCGAGGCTGCGATTAGTAAAACATAACGGCGCCTCAGCGTTGAACCGCAGGCACAGCCTTGCTTCTTGGCAAGGTCGGAATCAGGGCTATATTCCGACGAGTCGAGAGGCTCCTTTCGTTAAGGAAAGATCGCGACCGTTCGCGATCGTTATCGCGAAGTCGTTCGTTCCTTGCGAGAGTTCCACGGAGATTACGAATGCACGCGAGTTTGGATATCCACGCGAAACGTGCTCGAAAGCCGAAAGCCAGAACGGGTTCAGAATACCGATTTCTCGCGCCAAGGATTGTCATTTCCAGGAAATACAATGTCTTCGGGAGACAAGAATATTTCTCAATTATGCAAATCGTAGAACGCGCCCAACCTGTTTTGTAAATCCCATGAGACTGTATTTGCGCCCGTATATCACCTGAAGAAATATATTTGTTTAATTCAAAATCAAAGTGACAACGTTACTTCCGGAGACATTACACGTATATTGCGCGAAAAGCATTCATTCTGCGCAAACAACAGAAGATGTATTTCATAAGATTTGCGTTAAATTTCCGGAATATACTCTTGGACTAATTTTGAATCAATTTTTTGTTCGCAAATTTGAATTTCGGCCTGTCAAAGATTATTATTCTTTTGTGCGAATTAAATTTTGAAATTAATATTCGATTTAACACGTGAAATCTCCAACTACTTGTATAAATTATTTGCTCTTTTCTTCTCCAACTACTTGTATAAATTATTTGCTCTTTTCTTGACAACTATTATACATACATATAATAACGATTCAACCGTCTTAGAAACCTGTTTAAATCGTAATACTGAAGCTATAGGTGATTTCGCATCTATTCAAAGCAGTAGTTATCAATGACTAATAAAGTAACTATGCAATGCCCCAAAGCTGATATATACTACTTTTATCTACAGATATTTATCAATCGAAATTGATTTCGCCTTTACAAGAACGCGTAATGATTCTTAAGTGACGAAAGCGGTTAAAAATAAAGAATTATTTCTCGGAGAGAGAATTAAATTATACATAAACTAACAAATTTTACATAAAACGTGCGATAGATTATTATAATAAATTAAAATCATTGCTATGCGTATACAGAAACATAAAATAGTTAAAACTTGATCTAAATGCAGATGTAAAGAAAGGATTAATCGAAGAAAGCAAATTTTCCAAAAATCGAGATTTTTGTGCAACATAGATCATTGACCGATATTTGTTTCACCAGGATGATTTGCTTCTTAGTCACGCGTATTGCAAGTATCCGCGATCGAACAGGATGACTCACAGTCCACGGGAATACCCTGAAGAATTTAATTTTATATTTATTCTTTTAGTCAATATTTATGAGATTGTAGGAAAGAAATAACTATAATTGCGTATGACCCACTACGATTTATCGTCTCTCTGTCTCTCTTTCCGATCTCGGTGCACGTTCGAATCGAAATGTGTTCTTAAGAAAATCCTATTTTATATTTATCTTTGCTTACGCACTTTTTTCCAATATAGCTAATGCAGGAAAATTGCTGACCGCAAATTAACAAAGCAAATTAGTAGTCACTATTTCCTCAATTTTATAAATGTAATCGATCGTTGTTGATATCGCTACAAATCTCGGACATTAAATTTTCCAAACCAGCATACAGGACAGAATACAGGAAACTCGTTAAAATATTGAGTATTTTGAAGCAACTTTTATTTTCGATAATTTTCGACCGCAAGTTTCTCTGCTTACAATTAGTCATGTATATTGGTCGCAATCGCACTTATGACCCATCCCATGTTATCGGATTTCGATTAGATTATTTTCTACAAAAGTATATGGGACACACACATACATATAATATATACATATATTTTATATATTATTATTATATATATTATAATTTATTTTTTAGATATCGCTCGATTTAGCGACCAGATTAAATTCGATAGACACGTTAGAAGAATTTATGCAGCTTCTTCACGGTGTTCCAGCGAGCGAAAAGGGTATCGCGTTTACCAGTAAGTATAATTTGCTACTGCGTTATCTTTATTACGTGCTAAGTGCAAATGCAAATAATGCAATGGCAAATGATAATCTTAAGGAAAACTTGTCATGGAAGAAGGAGCAAATCAAGCTTACTCGTTGCAAATTCCACTTTATTAAATAGAAATATAAATAAAAACTTATTATTATATCATAAATAATTATCAAAAACTAGAAAATACGTCGCCAAAACAAACATTTGGAAATATATTGATATATCAATCACGTTCCAATGTCGCATAATCACATAATAAATTTCTTAAATACAGCTACAATCAAATGCATTACAATTATATATTACGGTTATCGTAGGAAAATTAATAGTTTATGGAGATGTGTGCAAGTATTATCACGATAAGGTCTTTTATTACCTAAGCTAAATTAAACCGTGGCGCGGTATGTCTTTTGATTGTTCCGTTGTTCATACAAACGCATAGTTATCAATGTGAACTGAGATCATCCCATAATGTGAACTGTATTTTGATATTTTCGGTGCAGTGCATGTGGATTAAATATTATGCAGCTTCAAAAAACTATCGTTACAAATTCTTACAGATTTAGAATGTTTTTTTTAACCTTGCAAAAGTTAAATGGTTTCTCGACTAACACAGGAAACAGCCTTTTGTTGTTACGAATGAAAATTCGCCGAGGCGTATCCGACCAATTGATTCAGCTGACAATATTATCTAACCAAGACTAAACACATGCAACTGCTCATCGGCCGCAAACGTATGTGCGATAATTTTATTTTACATGCCTGCTGTTTCTTGTGTATTAGACATTTTCTTCGACATCCATATAAATGATCTTGTGGATTTTATACATGACATTAAATGATCTTTTACTTGGAAAGTCGAAAATCAATTTATTGTTCACGTAATGTGCGCAAACGTGCACATCGGGATTTTTTTGCGCTATTTCGGCCTCGAAAGATTTTAAAAAATTTTTGCGATCCTCTGAGAAGTTTAAAGGCTGTAGATAACCACCGAAATGATTCACGTCCCGTATTAATGCGTTGCTAGCTTGGATTGCCTCTTCCAAACTTGGCAATTTGCTTGTTTGTATTTTATCTGTATTGTGGTATACCTTAGCCGAAAGGTTCGAAACGTGATCAGAACGAGCAGTTTCCCGTGCACCGCAGCATTTTGTAGCAACTGTCGGCGAAGCGTTATCGATTAAAAGCGAATATACGATCTGTAGCTTGCATGGTCGTTTCCAAACTTTCTTTTTCCAGAGTTTTGACCAATGATATAAGGACGGAGAATCTAAAATATAATTCATAAAATTTTTAAATATATAATTCTGTTTTAATTTTTAATCATTGATTTACTTTAATATATCTAACATTTATTGTTCACAAAATATCATATTAAAATGATTTCTGTAATTCCATAATTTATATATATATATATATTATTTATCTCTCCCAATAAAGTTTAATTTATAATATTCTATAAATATATATATATACATATTTCTAATACTACCTGTTTCTGCACTAATTCGTACAAATTTTATTTCTCCATTCGCTTCCAGGTACTTAGTCGTTTTAGCTTCAGCAGTAACAGGTCCATCTCCTTGACCGCACTCTCTGTTGATGGCTCTGACGGTTGGTGCCATTTCCTCTTTCAATTTTATCCTATTAATGTTCTGTATCTTCCCGACGATAGGCTGAGACGTAATCTCGGGCTCGAAAAGATTATGAAGATCATTCTCGTTAAGACCATAACACTGGTCACCCATCTCAGCGATTGCATTCGCACTAAATTCATTTTGATTCACGTCGAAATTGACATTCACGTTGTCACAATCTGTCGATATTCCCAGTTTATCTATACATTTTTCGATGCAAAGTTCGTTTTCATTATAAGCTGCTTTATATATGAAAGCTGCATAGGTCGCTTTATTTTTCTGATAACAATTTTCTACATTTTCATGGGTCGTTGACATTTCAGTCTCGTGTGAAGAATGAGCTTCGTGTAAATAATCGCTCGTGCAGTTAGCGTTCTTATCCAAGGACTGTTTTGTCTTCCTACGCGAAAAATATGTGTGCGTGAAACCATCTTTATCTAATGAGTGTTACACTTTCTTAAATAAATTTATTGCTTAATACAATTTGTGTATAATACACGTATAAACTAATTTTTGAGAAAAAATGTTGGTTTCGGACAATATAACCGATAAATGCAATTGTGAGTATGCATAATTTATCATTAATATGAATATTCTTACCAATTTGTCCTTTTGCAAGAAATATCCAAAATTGGCATAATATCAGAAAACGTGTGAAAAGACTCTTTTTTATTGGACAGCATAAAGGCAGCTACGTTCTTTTTCCCTTTAATCACCTGCCCGAACCATTTGAGTACCACGTGCTCTGCGAGATGGTCCTTAAAACCGGGAACCATTCCATCGGCCAACGCAAAATAAGAATTTGCAACCGAGATTGCTTGAGCACGTTCGTTGGTCACTTTTGCGTCGGCCATTTTCGCTCTAAAAAAATAATTGCTACCTAGAGAAAATCTAATATCAGTTTAATATTTCTGATTATAATCTTGCTTATTTTTTTTACAAACTAGTACTATTTTAATAACGTACTACTTTCACTTGTGCTGCAATTGATAAATTAAATGCCGTTCTATCACTAAATTATCTCATTCGAACTCTCATGCTAATACAAGACATTTACAAGACATTTAAAAAATCTGTAATATCTATTTACAATTAGAAATTAATATGCCCAACAAGGTTTTCTACGTATTATGAAACACATTTTATGTTATGTAAACCGGAGACTATATCATACCTTCGGCAGCATAAAAAAAAAAAGGAAAGTTTCCTCAATTATATTCACGATACAAACAAGGATTCTTTACAGATAGATTCGGAGGCGAGGAACGCTCGAACGCGTTGATGCCGACGCCGGCCAAGTGCATGCCCGAGCTGCAACTCGTTTCCCTAAAACTGGACGACGATCCTTCGACGTTCGTCTTCCCACTCTGCACACGGATCAAAAGATGCGGCGGCTGTTGCATTAGTTCTTTGCTCTCGTGTCAGCCAACAGCTACGGAGATGCGAAACTTCCAGGTAATCGATCGTTATCGAGTTGAAGAGCACGAACGAAAACGCGCCTATTATTATGAGCAACCAACTCGAGAGAAAGCAATAGTTAAGCATCTTTTCCTTTCTCGCTTTGTTTTAAGGTGATCGTGACGTCGATGAAAGATATGAACTACCGGGGACGGCGAATTGTCCCAGTGGAGGAGCATACTAAGTGCAAGTGCGATTGCAAAATCAAGGAGGAGGTAATTTGATGGCGACCGATAATTGGCAGTTAATCGACGCCTTCCTGCTTAACCGGGCCGCACCGGTTCGCAATTTTCACACCTCATATATTATCCCGTCGTATTGTTTCTCACACGCGACCTATGCATGCACATACGTACGTACTCGGTACGTACGTGCGTGCCACTCGAGAGAGATTTACGTCAGCCGGCCGGCTGAAAGGAACGCGAGCTCCGCTTCCAAGTACCCCGACAATGCACGAAAATACATTAGAAACAGAAGTAATAGGCGTTTCAAAGGCGTGAATCACTTTCCACGCGTCCGTCTTCATCCCCCCCTCGTCCTTCGGGTGTATTACGAGATTGACATTTCAATTACTTGAGATATTATGTCATCGCGGACGCAAGGAGATCCGAGAGATATAAAAAAAAATGCCAAGATTCTAAAAGGCGTGTTGATACGGTCACTTGCCCGACATTCAACATACACAGTACAATATTTAATCCGCATTACGCTACGGCCGTTTCTCAATATACCAATTTCGCTGATTGCTACAATTGTCGCTTCCTTGCAACGTGCGCGAACGCTCGCGAATAAGTGTGTCAGTGCGGGGGACAAGAAAAATTTAGCCGTGTTTGTACGAGAGCACGTGAAGTGTTGACATTCTTTTTCGCCGATGATTCACGCCGTCGTTTTTTTTTTTCCTTTTTGCCTTCAGCACTGCAACGATAAGCAGCACTACGAGCCGCACAATTGCAAGTGCACCTGCAGCAACATCGACGAGGAGGAGAAGTGCCGTAAGGACAACGCGAAGATCTGGAACCAGGAGCTTTGCGCCTGCTCCTGCAGGACCATCGAGCCGTGCACCACCGGATACTACTTCAACCCCAACACGTGCAGGTGTGAGCCGACAGAATAGGGGGATACTCGCTAAAAGAATAAGGCGCCCTTCCCTTTCATTGCACTTTACTCTATCATGATTTCCGAAACATACACGCGAACGCACCGATTTATTTCTCGTTCACCGAAATGACTTATCTCGACCTCGTTTCTGCACGAATTTTTTCAAGTTTCACCTTCTTTCTTTCGTGCACGAATCTACATATGCGTCCCATGTTCGCGCTTTCCTGCTATCTCGCACAGGGTGTTTGCACGTGAGCGAAAGCACTTCCAATGTTTCTCTTCGCGCCGACACCTTTCATTGGACGACGTAATTCACCACCAGCATTTCGAGTGATCCAAACGACGAAATGGAGACTTGCTTCTCGTCAAAATTTTTCTCATTGCCTAGTCATTAAACTAAAACGATATACCTCATGTGATCTATATACATATACTTAACTAATATCTATGATGTAACACTCTAAAGGTGGAATGTTTGTATCCTACTAACAATGATTACCGCTTTAAATAAATCGTTAAAAAAATAACGACACAAACCGGTAGAGCTGTATGAAAACCTGAGAGAGATTGTGAATGAGCTCCTGCACTTCGGTTCACGCAATTTGGCACGATATTTACAGTATATGCTCCGTAATTATGGCACGTAACCGAAAATGTGTTCCAGATGTGGACCGATAATGTTCTCTAGACCGGTAAACAGGTTCCCATCTACGAATTACAATTTCACTAATCGTCGTCCGGAAAACAGGCGGCCCCCTGTGATAATCCCCTTGGACCCATCGGATCCTAGAAGAAAACCTAAGGAAGATCCCGAATACAAGTGACAGGAATTCAGACGGACACGCGACGGATTACAAGACTGCTAAAACGAATCTATAGTTACTTTGTTAATTTCTTTATTACGTAGACGAGACTTCTCATTAATTCCATGCCTAGGAACTAGAAGAGTTGAATTGTTTTACCATTGAGTTGTCGCGATTTTATCACGATGCAAAATATGTTGCAAATTCTGAAACCTTTTGTCCATCACGTTTTTGCAATGTACATGATAATATCATTCCTGCGACTTGGTGGTGAGATATTACATTCCAAATAGTTACAATTTCACCTCCAAATCGTAGAACGACACAAGCTCTTTTAGTTCCAAGGCATTTCCATGCTAAACTACTGTGTGTTTACGAATAAAGGTCAAGAGACATTGTGATATAAAGAGGAGATGACCGCCACAAGATCTTGTCAATGTTATTTATGTCATAGTTATTTTTTGTATTTATTGTCACGTTTCGACACGCAAACTGCTCGTTATTTACCCTACTTGTATACATGTGACATACGTAGCAATAAATTTAGAACGTGACACACATGCAGGACTATCGATTACATCACGTATACTCGTTAATTAGTATTCACATCTAAGTCATATTATAACATAAAATTCGTAATGTTAATTACAAAACAAAATAGACAAATACAATCGTTATAACCTATCGTTTCTCCCTGACGAGCGAACGTTCTATGTCCTCGGTGCTTTGGTTTATCGGCTTTTCGCGTTGCTCAGCGTTCCGTAGATATGTAACGACAGCCGTGTTTATTCTCAGGATATCGCTGTAAGTCACGCTGACAGATTTCACGGAGTTCGCTATGTCATCTAAAACACAAAAGTTACATGTACTAACGTATAAAGCCATACCATGGAATCTCAGGTTTTCTCGATAAGAAATATCAATTGTCTACGAAACATTTCCTGTAAATCAAGCATTTCTGTTACTTTATTCCCTTTCCATTGTCCTTTCAATCATAGAAATCGCAGGAGAAAGGTTACTTACCGATAGAAGACGCGATATCAGTGACAGCCGATTCCTTAGTGAACCTGATTCGTTTTGCTTGCTGTTCCATTATCATCTCGGTGTTTTGCGCCGCTCGGCGCTCACGGCTACAGCGTTTACCAATCCGCGTTATTCGCGATATTTTCGTGTTTTGTTGACATTCGTGCGCCCGTCAGCTGAGAAAAGGCGCGAAAACGACCATCGCCGGCCGCCATATTGCACGCATTCGTCAAGCGAGTGTGCTTGCACGAGTACCGATTCCGACATATCAAAGACTAATGACAAGTAAATTTTAAGCAACGAGTCAACGACAATTGCGATTGCGCAGGATGATTTACAAAAGAATATAAATTCGTTCGGTTTAGAAAAATAAAGTTACTCCTTTGACGAGTTTAGTAACTGTCCTTGCTATACGTGCGAACGTATCTTTCTTTCCTTTTCTCTCTCTCCCTCCATATCTCTCCTTCTTTCTTTCCACTCGAAAGGTCACATTCCTTTTTTCCCTTTCCAATATCGTTTTCACTGGCGAATGTTTCACTTTGTACAATCGGAGCGGAATAAAATAATAACAATGAATATTTTTCGAAGCTGCGTCGAAAACACGCGCACGATGATTCTCTTTTTACACGCAGAAAGACCGTGCACGCAGATTATAACTACAGCAGTGTGCGAAAAACGTAAACCTAGAGAAAATGAAAATTTTATTATTCATTAAAATCGTATTTCTTTTAAACCGAGATTATTTTGTGCAATTACAGCAGTTTTTAATGAGATTTCGTCAATATTAAATAAAGAGAAAATCCGTTTTAGAACACGGAGAGTCATCTGGTGGATTCTCGAGCTATCAATTGGAGTACTACCAGATTGCCTCGTTAGATGGTGCATTAATCCAAAAACGTGAACAATGTGATTTTTGGACGCAGCGTAATTATGTGCTGTATAAAAATATAATTGCTGGCGATTCTCGTCTCGCTGCGTTGAATTTTAACGATCTCTTTAAAGAAATTGGATTTGTCAGCTTCAATCTGAATTTGCCCTGCATAAAAATTTCGACGTAAAAACTATCGCTTAATATTGTAATTTTAATTATATCTCCTTATTAAATATTATATTGTTTGCTTACAATTCAAAAATCATGTTCTTTTTAATAGAATAAGAGAGAGGCCCTAATAAAGAGAATACAAAAAGATGAGCAATCGTTACATCGTTTAATTATTGTTTGCGATTTCTTCATTTTGCCCTACAAGAAGTAATTAATCACGCCGCACAATGTCGAGTTTAAATTACTACCCTCTGTCGCAAGGTTATCCTCGATTATTTATAGCATCTCCGAAAATTCCACGGAAGCCGAAGATCGTGTCGATCGGCATTGGATGGTTAAATGGCAATTTTGTAATTAGAGGCTTTACAACCGATCCCCGCGCTGCTCGCGCTGATTACAGGCTTGAATTTCGGATATTTTTACCCACGCATAATTAATTCGCATATGCGTGATTCAACGATATAAGGGCGCGGACAAACCACGTTTCTTCATTTGCGATTACATCGCGGCCGCGGCTGCGGCCGCGTACTCCCGACTACAATGGCTCGGGATCTCTATGAGAATCAGAATTAATCACACTTGCTTACGGAGCTCGATCTGCCCGGCGCGGCGGGAATGATTGTTATCTCATGCCGGAATGAGTCCTCTCGCTTGTTAGGAGAAAAATCGGAGTTGCTCTCGGTGCTTCAGAGTCGATTACATTAAAAAATCTCAGTTCGATACAATAATATATTCGATAATTCTTGCCAGATTATATTAATATTAGCAATTAAATATTATCAACTGTCTATCCGACTTGTGTTTCCCCCGAATGTACCCACGCAAATTCTCAAGTTAAGATTTTCAATACATTTGCATTTACTAACAATGACACACGCACAACACACATACATACATACATACATATGTATGTATATTTCTAATATATGTATGAATGTATATTGCTGCCTCATCTTGAGCGCCGCCTTCGAAACAAATTCGGGCGACTTGGAACTGACGGTCGAGATTTGCCGCGATACCCGCGATTAATCATCGGGGGTTCCCTGATATACACACTTAAAGGTTCCTGGCGAAAGGGACAGAGAAACGGTAGCCAACTCGGCCGGTCGGCCCCAACCGGCCATCCGTACGATCCGTACCGCGGCGCCATTTTTTTGCGCCATCCGTTATAATTGCCGAGGCCTTGTCACTTTTGCCGTGGCGCGGGCCCCGCAGGGAGGTACCTGGTGCGTACGTTGCCCGTGCCCCGCTCGCTCTCTTGCACCGAGGCGGCTTCCTCAAAGAGACGACGACGAGGCAGGACTGGCAGGAGCTGGAGGACGCGAAGGGAGAAATGCGCAACGAGCGGAGGACCAGAAACGAGGTGCACAATGCCGACTGTCCCCGCAAATGCGGATCTTCCTCTCGTCTCGTCGAATCGCCTCAAACTAGACGCGCGCCGACGTGTATACAGTACCAGGCACACGACGCGACTTTATATCTTTCATTTCCCTCGGACAAGATTCCCGAACGCGGGCCAACGTTTTGTCGATAAACGTCCCGTGGCGTGATCCGTAATTTGACATTTTACAATATTTATGTAATGTTAACTCTTTCGGTGCGGAGCGGTCCGAAGCTAAATTACGGACGACACGAGACTCGCAATGACGAATGCCGAGGATGAAATATTTTTTTACGTAAAAAGAAATGAAGACACGCATAAAAAAACATGTGCGTCCATAATCCATTATTGATAATAATTGTCAGATGCATACATGCGGTCATAGCATTCAAAGAGTTAATCGTCTAAGAATCTCCGAAAGAAATATATAAATTTAATTATACGTTAATAACATTCTATCTTATAGCATATATAAACATTTATATAGCTTAATCATTGTTGATAAGTTCACGGGAAAAAAGGAGTCGTAAAATATGAACAACTATAACATTTTTTTGCTGCGAGAGCTATATTTTTAGCAATAGTAGCAAAATCGGCCTTTTGTTACTAAGAGAATGTTAATTGTCCATATTTTACGACTAGATTTGCAACGGTAGCTTTTTTTTCGTGTTCGCGGTATAAAATGATATATTTTTTTGTCAATATGAATAAGAAGAATATTGATATTCAATCGTCGATTGACTCTCTCGCAACGTCGGAGCTTCAACAGTGCTCTCATCGTGCTCTCGCGGAACGGGTAACGCTTAAAATTCAAAGGCGATCAGCCGGCCAGTGCCGGCAAAAACCTGTGCGTCGCCTGCGTATTTTACGCCACTTTCTTGCGTGTACGCACGCGTGTAGGTATCTCCCTCCTCTTTCTTTCTTTCTTTCTTTCTCTCTCTCTCTCTCTCTCTCTCTTTCTTCCCCCTCTTTCTCTCTTCCCTCTCTCTCCCCCGTTCCCGCGATCTCTCCTCAAGGACTGCTGACGCGCGGATGGTCCAGAGAAGAAGCCGGCGAGGAGAAAAGTCCAACGATCGTAACACGGTAGCCCGCGCAACACGGCGGTAGGCTTAAATCATATTAAAGCACGTCCAGGCATCTCGATCGCGGGCCATAAGCCCGGATTACGGACGCCGCCCGTTCTCTACGCGAGAAATTCCACAAAGTAACCCGATCACGTTACTCCGGGGATCAATCGGTGGAGGAGGATCTACAAGATCTCTGGCGAAAGGATTGACGGACCTTTCGCAAGTAATATTTTTCGTGTTTACATTGTCGTATTGGAACGTTATCGCGCTATGTATTCTTTGTGCACGACTTGAAATTATTTATAAGTTTAATTTATTGTCGATTGGCTCGGTAAAGTATATCTCAAGTCAAAAGAGAATATGTAAAAGTTAAACTAAAACTCTCATCTTTGACACTCGTCTTATTCGTAGATTTTTGGAAAGATGAATTTTGCGCGAGAAGGGATCTAACAATAAGTATCGAATAGACTGAGCGAGCTAATCAAACACTAAGAACACTATAATCAGTTGTTCGACGGACACCCATTATCATTATCTTCGAAATAAAAAGAAGATATCGCGCCATCGAGGATACGCTGGATACGTTCGCTTTCTTCCAGCTTGATTTGAAGCCTTAATTGGGATACGGACGGCAAGAGCAGCCCGTATCGAAAAGACTATAATCGGCAACTACTTTCCTGCCTAAAAAGCGATACCTGCGTTTCCGCAATTCGTCCGATAATATGTCCGTCCCCCGTGGAAGAAAAAAGAAGGAAGCGCTCACTCGTAGCTTCGGTGTTTCGGTGAAAGACGTGATAGTATGTTACGCCCGTGGATTATGGTAGCGAGATAAATCGCTCGGCATAAATATAACGGCAGAAATGAGGCTCATACCGGTTCGTTTTTTTTTCACGCGTGGCGTAAAAAGTTGCCTTCGCCGAAATTACACCGGTATCGGCTCCCGGTTACCAGCGTACAGAAGCATCTCGGGCCCATCTATCGATGAAGAAGGGTTGGGAGGGAGAGGGGGAGGGAGGCATAAGATGAAAGACGGAGCGTATGAGATAAAGTGGTCTCGTGAAACGTTACGAAACAACGTGGGCAGCACCGGTAGAAAATGGCGTGGGCCGCGACTGTCCGAGACCAGGTGGAACGTGTTTGTACAAGATACGGACTGATAAGCCATCACCGAGGCTCAACGAGAGGGTTCGAGTATATAGCTCCGGTCACCGGTTAAAGCCCATCGGAGAAAGTGCATTTATTACACGGATGCTTGAAGAGATTCGTGATTCTCTTATTGAAAAAAACGTTTCTTTTCGCTTGAATTGCAATCGGTTTCCCATCAGCGTTAGAAAATTATTATTTTTCTTTTTTTATTTTGTACGAAAGTCGATACCAGGGTAACTTTTTCTTCGCATAAAATAAAGCGTGCATCTTTACTATTCAGAGGGTGATAGATATGCCATACATCGTTATATTACGATAACACTTGAAGTCCCCAATATTCAAATGATTCGCAGATTTAATGATGTGCCAGATTTTATCCGACAAGCATACGTTAAAATTTAAATCTGGTTTGCAGTTTTACGATTTTATCACGGTCACATGTGCAAGTCTATTCGAAAATTAATGGTTCATTTCATGGGGAAGGCTTATGCAACGACAGGCTCCGATACGTGCGTCAAGAAAGATCGTGAGCTCTTATGATTCGTTTCGACCATGAGCCAAATGAATCGCGTGAATCGTAACGAGGGAAATACGAGAAGAATACGTTTCTATTTATATATCCCGATAAAAGCGCATCGCTGTTGCAGGAAATAATCAATGATGGTCCGCACAAAATGAGAAAGGGTATTTAAGGTGCCATATAGATCTGATGAGCAAATCAGAATTAGAGCAAATTGCGCCGCAAAAAGATCGCAGGATGTACAATGAACACCTCGCTGAGGCGACTCGAGATGGAACAAGAAATGAGGAATGAGAGTAGAGCGCAACAAGAGCAAATCGATCGTTTAGGGATTCGAAGCGGATTACTGTTGGAGTAATAATAACGACCGCGACGCGCGCTGGGTGTGCGTACGTGCATGCGTGCGTACACGCGGCGCACGCGTGTGTGCCGAGACGATGACCGCGTGTGATGACTTCTGAACTACGCGGTCCACTTTTCCTCGGTACAGACACGCGAGAAAGTCAACAGCGTGGACGAAGAGACGAGCTCTCTTTATGAAAGGAATATCAAAATTGAATCGAGAAATATCATGAAAGAAGAAAATATCACAGACGTTAATAGTTGCTTTCAATTTACATCAAAACTCAGATAATTCTCACTTGTGACGTCATAACTCAGTTGAATGCACGTTCTTTTTGCACGCTGGCAAGTGAGATTCAACTGAGTTTTTATCCACAATCGAGATCATGTGCTTTAATGAATCTAATAGACTCACATTAAAAGTGAGGCTATGAACCTGTATTATTATGCGATAGCTTTGTCACAAAAATAAGCAGGTTAGCAGGTAAATACAAAATGACATATCTTACCTGAGTATAAAATACTCACATAACTGAGTGACTCAGATCACTTGAGTGTAAATGGAAAGCAACTAATATATGTATAGATATATATATAAAACAAAAGAAACTTTTCAGAGAGAGCGTTTTGGTGTTTCTACATACTAACGTACACAAGATAAAAATATTTG